CCCCCCTCCCCTCTCCCCCTCTTTTTTGGTGCTTGACTAGATAGACACAAAAGATTGCAAACAAAATTCTTGACAAGGCGTTGTCGTTGGAAAGGTACGGGGCTCGAGGTGAAAACCAGACTCGGTCGATCTATTTTTCTATTCTCCTATTATTTTGAAAATGTTTTGTGATTCTGGGATGATTTCACAGGTTGCAGGAAGAGCGATAATTAATCTTAGCCATGGAATATCAAACTGACTCAACAAAGGCCTCACCATCTTCGCCTGAACATTATGCACCCTGAGAATGAATGCATACATGCTATCTTTTCAGTCCAGCAGAGCCATTGTGTTCGTGGGAAGACGGTAGCCCTGAAATAGCCCATAGATCCCACTTAACAAACAAGTACCTTGGCGAAGAAGAAGTCAGACAACCAACTAGAAGGGAATGCAAGGAATATGAGCGAGAGCGATAGACAGGAAACCACGTTGCAAAATCACGAAGTAGTTCAGACAGTCACGTACCAAGCAGAGAGAACAATGCACCAAGATTCCATCCAAATAAGAGCGATTCAATGAACTCATGAGCCATCTCCAAGCCCTCAGGTCACAACAACGCAGTATCCAATGTCGCTCATCTCTGTTTGACGTTCAGCGCCCAGCCTACTCTACTGAGCCAATCTAGCCTATCTACATTCGTGCAACAGGATCACTGCCGAAGTAGAAGACCAATGTACATGACTTCAACACCAATGCCAACCAACCTCCCACATACACCAGGTACCCCCCACGCATGTGCCTCCTTCCCGAAGACCACCGTCGCCCATCACCCGCATGCGCCCATACAGCCCGGCTATGGCCGCCGTGCACCCACTGCCCTGCAGCGCCCCTCTCACCTCATAGCACCCGCGTACGCCCCAGCCAGCAGCGCATGCGGACACTTGCGCAGCAATGCACCAGCGTGTCTGCATTGCCTGCCTAGGCCAGAAAGCCTTCCACTGGGCAGCTCACTTTCCTTTATGGGGCCCGGCCGGAAGCCCCTGGGCCTGGCTGGGGAAGTTTCCAGTAGCTTCCGGCCGGGCCCCAGTCTCTGCGTCCAGGTCCTGTCTGACAGTTGGGGGCCTGGGGCCTTTCTGATTGGGCATGTCAACGGAGCCTCCAGGCTCCAAGTGTTTGCCGTCTTCTCATTAGCTTGCTGGGCCTCTGTGATGACAATGCAGCTTTCTGATTGGCCCGTGTCGGTCTCGCACTGTGTGTGCCCGGGGCGCAACCACCCGGCGCTGGGCTCAACTGCTTGACACAGCTGCTGTTTCTGAAAGCAGCCCGGGGAGAGGCTCACATTGCACTTCAACCAACCGGCGTGCTACAACTGTCTGAGTACCCACATATTAAAAATGTCAAATTTTGGCCTCTTGTGCAATCAGACTTGTTCTCAAACACACTTTTCATGCATGTAAACAGCAACGCAGCATACTGGCGACATACGCCCACTCAAAAATCAGATATATGGCTTTCAGATACAAGTTCACTCTCAATTGGCTATGGCGACTTCAGCGCCCAAACATCTCACTGTTCACATACACTGGATCACCCTGGATATCCCACACGCATCACTCTAACACTCGAACACACACACACTCACTACTAACTACAGCTATGGCAGCTGTCGCTGCCTCTACCCTATCGCTATGCTAGCTCCCACTCTCTTGCCCACTGCGTCCTCCGGGCTCATCTGCATACCTCCTTGCACAAGTCGCTGTGGCAGCGCTTCCGCATGGCTCACGCAGGAATGAATGAATGGCTGGGCGCTGCCTCTTGATTTATACTTCAGAAATTCGTTGGTCTGCCCTTTGCCATCGGCCCTTGGTGCTCACAGTCCCCCTGTG